AAACACCGCCCCTTTTGGACAAACCCTCAACAGCTCCAACAACGCAACAGGGCACTCGCACTAATACGTCCACATCATCTGTATCGACCACCGCATCCACATCATCCGTATCATCAAACCAGGGCAATTTGGGCACGGCCAGAAAGCAAGTTCGGTTCTCGGAAACAACGATCCAAGGAACAGCCGCACCGACCAGGTTGGTCGACCTAAGGAAGGTATCAGCAAAAATCAAGAGGAACGTCAAGACACTTCTAGCAATTGACGTCGTACTGCAGCAAAACAACAAACCAGCAGAGGCACCAGCTTCACTGGTGGAACTCAGTTCGTTGTTAGACAATGGATCGCTGAGCATGCTCGTGATAGTAGGAAAGTGCGAGCCCGTTTGAGTAGTTATCGAAGTGCTGGAGACAACAGGTCACTCTTTCGACTTGTTGCTCGGGCGCCCTTGGAAAGTGGCCTCGGGAGCAATTCATTTCTATGAGATCGACACGGTCTTCTTTCCCACATCCGGTGGATTGTGGCATCGCATATCGTCTCTTGAAGTATCTGATAAGGACGCCCTACCAAGGACGCCCTTGGAAGCGGTCAGAGCTATCAACGCTTTGGATGATCACCGCTTCGAGCTGAGTAGAGACATGTTAAGCTTGGAGAATCCAGACACAGGCACCGTTACTGCTGATGTTCACTTCACAGTTGATGACGTACAGCGCGATGACAGAATGGATGAGCTGCTCACTCCCATTGTCAGAGATCCAAAGACCGCACCAACTTCTGCTCCGCCTGCAACAACCGAGCCAACTATCCAAGAAGCAAATGAGCTGGAGGAACTCAGGAAGTTGCTCCCAATTGTGGTTCAACGCGCAGACAATAGGCTAGAGAGATCAAAGCGGCGTCAGCGCTTCAATCCCCAGTTTGTCAAACCTGGAAGTCAGTCAAGCATGCAGGAGAAGCGACCTGGGTTGGAGGCGGTGTTAGAGTCATCCTGCACCAGCGAGTTGTCTTGGGCTCAAAGACGCCATCTAATCG